GCTTTACCTCGCTACCGCACCCGTTAAGATTCATAACCATTAAGTTTCTGCGTCTGATGGCAGTGAACTTCAGAAGCCGACAAGACTGTGCTAAGGCTCTTCAGGCCTTGTACTTTGGTGTCGGTTACTATGGTAAGCCCACATAACTTATTCTAGCTTCTGGACAGGTTAGTTTACCCATTCTTCTTCAGCCACATTTGACCTTGATAATTATTTACTTATCAACCCTGACCGTTTTGATATGAGTGTATGTGTGTACATTGTATCCTACTCACCACATATCTGAAGCTTATTTTTATGCAATTGTAAATATTGATTAACGCTTGATTAAATGGAGTTGGCTCACACGCCACCTCTACTGCGCGTCATTTTGCTTCGTTCTCCTCGCTCCTTCAATCCGCTTCGCTCTTCCTTCTTTATTTCGTCTCCTTGATTGCCTGTTGAAACCAATGAATGCCTGAAATATACATAATTGAAACCCGTTCTCGTATTGGACTTATTTAATTCCGTTAAACACCATCGCCATTTAAGTCGATGATATTATGCGAGGATTGACGATATATATACATATATTTCGACAGCAATCATTAATACGATCTAATTGGAGTCATATCTCGGGCAACGAAAGTGGTGAGCCCGTCGACAACATCATGTGGTCCAATTGACGTCGAAATGAATGGCCTTATTAAAGTACGGCTAAGAACATCGACACCTCCAGTCACATCAGATGTTGTGAGGGCCTTCTCAGATAGGCAAAACAACAACAAGAAAGTCCAAAAGACACACATTGGCACAACTCACGGTTGAGAACACAGAGACAAGCTACTTACAAACCAGAAGTTCGATGTTACTGTAGAGCAGCGTCAGATGATGAAACAAACCATTAAGTGCCTCTATAGCAACCTAAGACTGTCAAGAAGCAGGCTGGAGAAAATCAGAAACATATGCTTTATGTTAGACCTGGATATCACAGTCCTCACTGAAACACAGCTATCACCCGATGTCATAGATGAAGAAGTGCAGAATTATGGTTTATTTTGTTGTTCCTACTGCTCTAATAATAGACTTAATCCCAAAATTGCTTATTTGTCGTGTGACTACCTAATCTATATAATTTTACGTGGAAGTCACATAATTGCCTATTCTGAATGTCGTATCGTACCGTGATATAGCGTTAGGCGTTTGCAAAGAACACATTTGGGCTGGAGATAGAACAACACATTTAATATTAATAAAAGCGATAAGTTACACAAGAATGACCACTCATGCAAGGTTGAGTCATGTCATCTAATTGATGAATCAATGTTCACGCGTTCATCATTCTTATCTCTCCAACATTGTTACATGTTGAAAGTGGATCTCCTCACTAATTGTATGTTCAGCTTTAAAGATCGTGCACTTAGGAACCGATACCGCTACAGAAGTGAGCTTGCAAGACGTGACACTTTGCAGATACGATAGGATACATAGACAGAAGGTGGGGTGGAGGAATTCATTAACAGTCACTTCAAAGCCTTAGTTACACACAGTACCGAATTAACTGGGGCGAAAGAAAATGCTGGTGTTGCTTAAATTTAAGCGGTACAAAGTACTTGAGTGGAAGATTATACTGGCTGCACACAGGTTCTAACACCCAATAACGAAAGATAATACAGGAGATACTAAAGCTGCCTCAGCTAGAGTTTGTCCAAATACTACTAGCTGGAGGTTGCAACAACTAGCGATTCCAGAAACCCATAGAAACGTAAGCCAGAATTTTGTCCTTATTCGCTACTCAACTACATGGAACAGACTGCCAGTGAACCTCTGTTGCAGCGAAACTACAACCCGGTTCAAGAGTGTCCTTGATGATTTTCTTTCCGAAAGTGGATTTCGTTACCTTTTGAATATCAATGTGTTTAATAATGATTTATACAAACAAGGTCCGTTATCCATCTAACTGATTAAAAAGCACAATGTGCCCTTTGGAACTTTTCACGTCTATTTTATTCTACTTCTATTCATCTTAATATATGTAGTCCGCTCATGTTCGTATCTATAATTATTACTGTTACTGATATCATTACTGGTACCTCGACACATTAGATATTCTATTCATCTCTTCTTACCCCTCTAAACATGTATTGTTCCTAAACATCCAAAGTCTATAACTAAAAACAAATTACCTCACAGTACACTTAAATAAATTAACTTCTCAGATTCATTTTATATATAAGATATATCTATATGTATTTATCCGAGCGCAGTAAAGGATTTTTTACCTTATTTTATTTTTTTCAAATTGCTAGTTTACTTCGGAGGTCGATATTCATTACGCAATTATTATTATCATGGTTGAACCCCTTCGCTATGTGTTCATTTTTTTCCATCTAAATAAATATTATTCTTAAGTTTACGAAGTTTGTAATTAAGACAATAACTTGGGTTACACGTAAATTAACTCATCAGACTCGTTTCTTCTTCACTATGTATATATGACTCATACATATTGATATTTCGTTATCCTTTTCACTTAAATGAGACTTTCATAGCATCAATCCAGACCATGACTGCAAAAACATTTATTCTAGCGTCATATCTTATTGCAATAATAAATCATTTTTTCATAATTATTTTCTATTTTATTTTTGTTACTAATTTGACGACACTTACATAGTCGTTTATTCTTGTTCTGTGTTCATTAACCCTCCTATTAAACTATTTGCATATTTCACGTCTCCTTTATTTGAATTCCCTTATTTTCTTCCTTTCCTTCTTTAAACTCAATTCAATATCCTTTCCAATTACACAGAAACTGATTTATTATTACTCCCTTTTTAAAATATAATGCTAACATTATTTAAACTTGTGTATTATTGCATTGTTGAGGAAACCCGAAATGGTTTCTTCACAACACTTATGTACCCATAAGATGTTTGTGAATAATAATAATAACACTCCATCCCTAAGGCTCAGTTACGAGGATACAACCCCTACAAGGTGGTTCCATAAGTGGCTTTCCACAGCCATTAGAAGTTCAGGACTGACAGCATCTGCGTGGCAACACGAAATGGGACCGCAACAGAAAACACTCAAACTTAGATTATTTACTGATAAGTGCTCAGCTTCTGGTTGAGGATGTCCATGTCCACGCACCAAGAGGAATTAGTGACTATGGTGCGGTCATGTTTAACATGGCCACAAACAAGATACCTCGGTGGAACGAAAATTTCTTCTACCTTAGTTACGCCAGAGCACACTATATGACGAAAAGGGTGCATCTTCAACACGCCTCATGGCCATTAGAGTGGTGAAGGCTAACAGTAGGTGACCTATGAGGGTCAGTAAAGGATATCATTCAGCACAGTATCCAACACTATGTACCTTATGGTAAACGCACACCCGGAAAGCGAAGATTTTGGATCAGGCGAAGCACAGAACGCTCGCTACAACTCAAACAGAGAGCCTGGCACATTTAGAAAATCTCATTGGCAGAATCTGATCGCTTCTCTTACCTGGCATTGAGAAACATGAAATATCAAAGTTAAAAGCAACGGGAGATGTTTTCAGGTCAAGCTACCAGTCTAAGTGCAAGTTAATTCTAAGTATCTCCACACATTCATGACCAGGAGATAGCTTGAAAACCAGGGAATGTGTACTCCAAAAGTGACAAAAAGTAAGAATTTCACTAATTGAAAATGGCAGACCAACTAAATCAGGGTCCTGAAAGTGTGACACACCTCTCTACCCTAATGCTAGTCAAGGGTCTTGAAGATACCCGGCCGACTTCCGGGTTAGTGTTAAAAAGAATCAAATCCCTGTGCCTCGAGGGGTCAGCAGCATGTGACAAAATCCGACCTATAATCCTGAAACAGTGATCAAAAGTCAACAGTGCACAGGTGCACAACCCATTCAGGCACTTATTAGATTCTCATCAACCGCCAAGCGAAAGTAAACAGGTCACTCTTCCTCCAATCGTCAAAACGAGCGATAGAAAACACCTAGTCTGTCGCAGGCTAACCTCACTGTCAGAGGTGATGGAAGGACTAGCTAGTGAACAAATGTGAGAATACACGGGTAAAAAATCCTCCACCAAGCCCACCGTGAGTTCAGGAAGGACATGTCGTGGGCATCCAATTCGCTTGTAGCATGGGAAAGCTTGACAACCTGGTGGATCCATAAGGTACCAGTTCATATGACATTCCGCGACTTCACAAAAGCCTTCAACAACACCTTATGTACTTCCCATAATGAAATTTGTGAAGATGGGTTTCACGGACCCACTTTTATCCTGACACTGGAATACCTGGTGAACATGGCGGTTCGTAGCAAAGAAAATAGAGCGCAGGCGAGTTAGAAGATCTCAACAGTAGGAATTAGTTTCACCTAGCCTACTAAATACGAGGATATTACCAGAATATCATCACCACGCTTCTCAAGGCAACCCTCCAAAGATCTTACGTGAAAGAGCCAGAAAGCGTGCATACATTTACTTCCCGCATTACGAGATGCCGCCATTTAAAATGCTTTTCCGGCCGAAGTGAATTCAATCCCCTCAGTGGACAGCTTTACGAGAAGACCTGACAAACACTTACTCATGGATTACCAAATCCATCTTGGACTAGCTTTCTGATTTATGTCTCATATATTACCACGGTGACCACCAACGCATACCAGCGACTACTTCTTATCTCCGTTATTATCATCTCAGTTTCCCCTCTTATTATTTCAGTCCCATCTTCTTACACATCAACTAATCAACTTATTTATTATTGTTGTAACAGTTAACTTGTTCTGGCAATCGAATTATCACTTTATTATTTTCACATTAAAATCAAACAACCTTCTTACTGGTAATGTGTTAGCTGCTGGTATCCAGAAACCCTATTGCCATGAAACAAACGCACTCAACTACAAGATATACAAATCCACAAATAACTACAACACCGGTAAGGGTTAGTGCAGTCAATTGGTTGCGTTATCACCCACTGGAACCGTACCGAGATCATAAGAAACAAGTGCAAAACAATCAATGGGTTTATACAACCACATGACAAAGGTATTGGATATTGGACTTTAACTGGACATTTAACATTTAGGCGGTTATTTGTGGAGAACTAATGACCTTGTTTATCCGGAGATGTGTTTTCAATCTTCCTCCCCTAGTTGAGGTTTCAGCTGCACAGCTGCATTTGGGACACTACAATTCAAAATATAAACTAGTTGTTGATCCTCATAAAGAGGATACTATTAAAAGTGGTTTTGAGAATGTGACGAGATGGCTTATAGTAGCAGATATATTGAGAGGTACTAAATTTACTGATAAACGGTATTGATTATCACAGGTCTACGGTTAACCCTTGGTATGGTGTTTAAGGAGCCTGCAACTTTAAACTACCCTTTCGAGAAGGGTCCTCTCAGTCCAAGATTTCGTGGTGAGCATGCTTTACGTAGGTACCCTAGTGGTGAAGAACGGTGTATCGCTTGCAAACTTTGCGAAGCTATATGTCCAGCTCAAGCAATCACTATTGAGGCTGAGCCAAGAGCTGATGGGAGTAGAAGGACAACTAGATATGATATTGATATGACCAAGTGCATTTACTGTGGATTTTGCCAGGAAGCGTGTCCAGTAGACGCCATCGTAGAGGTGACCAATTTGTTCTTTTAAAGTGCTTACTATACTCGTAGTAATAAAGATCATTTGGCTAATTTTTTGGGCTGCATACCGAGCTTGCATTAACGTAACTCTCAGTTGATACTATTACTGTTCATTTCACAACAGCAAAATCCAAATCTACTAGGAAATAATTGGTAATGTTTTGTGAAGGTTTTAAGTGAAGAACTAATAGTTGACTTGTGGAATCTCCCTTGTGAGTTGAGTTTCATAATGAGGAAATGTGTTTATTCAGTGGCTGACCTAGCAAAACTTCCTGAATTTTACTGTTCGTTTAGTAAGCCCTGGTATTTTCAAAGCGTCGTGTTCATATCCAAATTTTGAGTTTAACAACATGATGTAGCCCTTTCAAGAGCTATATCCGTAACGTCTCGGGCGGCATATGAACGCTTATTAGTGTATTACTCGGAATGATGGAATTTCCACCCTACCCTTTGGTAATTTTAAAGCATTAGGAAATTTACACACAAAACGACGTATGGCTAGTTTAATATAACTTTTGACCCTGCGAATCGGCCACTAGACTCGTACAGATTACATCAAAAATTCATTTTCATCCTTTCTGACTTCGTGAATTATCCACTTATGATCCTATTTGTTACATCTTTATTTCACATTCGTTTGGCAGGTGACTAAAGTGCTATTGTCAGTTTCACATTCAACTTAGATACCAAGTGAACCGCATCCATCTGTCATATCCTTGATCTCAAAAATAAAATTGTCAAGATATCAGGTATTTGAAACTCGCTAAACCTTAAAGTGATCATAAGTGAGTGGATGATATTTTAAACACATTCGCTTTCACTGATTATCTCTGCCAAAAAAAACGATTAGAGAGGAACCTGATGTCTGCCCTGTCAAGATATCAGCTCATTCAATGTGTTTGGGAAAAACTTTTTATGTACTCGGAGATTCTTTATTAGGTTAAAGCAGAAGACTAGGTAATTTTAAGGGTAGACATCAGGTTCCTCTCTAATCGTTTTTTTTGGCAGAGATAATCAGTGAAAGCGAATGTGTTTAAAATATCATCCACTCACTTATGATCACTTTAAGGTTTAGCGAGTTTCAAATACCTGATATCTTGACAATTTTATTTTTGAGATCAAGGATATGACAGATGGATGCGGTTCACTTGGTATCTAAGTTGAATGTGAAACTGACAATAGCACTTTAGTCACCTGCCAAACGAATGTGAAATAAAGATGTAACAAATAGGATCATAAGTGGATAAATCACCATCCAGACTATCGCTTATCTCTAAAACTGATCGCCTAACGTTTCTCTAATTTTAACACTGGTATCTGATCGGCAAGTAAATTTTATATGGTTTTGGTGTGTGTTAACAGTTAAACGACATCTTTCAAAAGATTTCAAATGTATATTTAACCTTTGAGTCTTCAGATCTCAGGAGCTATATGTAAGATCAATAAAAGTCAGCTTTTACACACTTTTCAGTTCAAATAGTTACCAAACGTTGAAAATGAAGTCGGACAGTTCTATGAAAAACGTATGTGGTTCATCCTAATTACTAGCAAAATAGCACTTTTATATCAATCACATGATAATTAAGTGTAATATGATTTTGTAGGTTAAAAATAAGGTTGTTCGCGTTATATGTAAAGCTTTTTGTATACCTATCGAGTTCACAAACACCCAGCTAATCATCTGTTTAAGGAAAATGTTAATCCCTTACATTCCACTCTGATTATCAGAATTACATTGCCATGGGATGGGAAGAGTCACCTCTCTCTCAAAGTGCTCTCATATGGCTAAATGTATCCAGCCAATACCTTCTCACAGTAACTCTGACTCCAAACCAATGGTGCACATAGGCTCCAGGATCCTGAGGGAACAAATGGCGTATGAGTCAATTATTGGTCACCGGTTACCATGGGACTGCACCTTCTAACGTTGCATCATTGCCTTGTGGATTAGACCTGTAGGTCAAAGGCTCAAAATATGAATCCCTAAGAAAACCACATGCTTCTGTTTGGACGCCCGGGCAGTATTCCGGTCCTCACAAATCGAATGGTCTGTGTGGCACACAAATATTTGGTACCTCCTTGTACCAATGTTTATGTATTTAAATAAATAAATAATAGATCAGAATCACATCTTTCCTAGCACCCATCACAACGCTTTTTGTCTTGTTACTTGCTCAGACCGCTTACATTTATAAGTTCTCAAAGGAGGAATACTTCATTTAGGCCTATATAAAAACAAAGTTTTTTTTTTTAGTTGAAAATCCTTACACATAAGTTTTCACGCACTTTAAATGCATCAGCAGAAATTCGAGATTTGGTTCGTCGGTATCTTCATTCCATAGATTGTTTTGTCTTGTTACTTTAAAGTTGGTCGGTTAGTTTAAATCATGAGGTGGAAAAGTCTAACAAGAAAAAGTAACTAGACAAGCCTCAGTAGTTATAAATCTTATGGTTCATTTGCACATTTTAATTTCATCATCACATCAGCATAACTGTATTGTGAAGTCTAAAACAGTAGTTTTAATATTAAAAGATATGATTTTAAAAAATAAAATTCCTCTTTAAGCTCTATGGGGTGTCAAAAATGAGTAGTTTTAGATTTCAGGAATTGCAAGTCTAAAACACGAGTTTAGGTGTTTTATACTCTTGCATTTATTTTATCAAATGTAGCAAGTTAGACTAATGCGTTACTGTGAAAGCTATTACTCTGTTCAGTCTAACTTCCTCTGTAAAATGAATGGATTTTTACTAGAAGGATATGATTTTTTGACAGGTTATGTCAATTTAACTGTAATCTTAGCAACTGTTCGTGTGTTAAAGATGGAACAGTTCTAAGCACGCTTCTTTGGTAGATAGATAAATAAGTTGTATAAAGCACCAGACTACAGCTTAGGCATAGAGGCTCTTCGGTGTCTCGAAAAAAGTCGATGTCACGAGAGGAGTCACTACCTTTTAAAATGAGTTGGAAGCTTGATTTTTCTAACCTCCCACTTCCAAAACCCTTTTGTTGTCTATGGATGGCGTTGTTACTTTCGATTGATTTCCAACTAAGATAACTAATTTTCTAGTTTGTTTTCTCATCTGAATTTCAGGGACCAAACTTCGAATATTCTACTGAAACACATGAAGAATTACTGTATAATAAAGAAAAATTGCTGCAAAATGGTGATAGATGGGAAGTCGAAATCTCAGAAAACCTAAAAGCAGATTATGTGTATAGATAAAGTATCATTTCGTTCATTTGGTTTGTAAATGGTTTAATTTACAGGATCTGTGCACTACTAATTTCATATTTAAACAACCAATATCAACTTTTCTCATATGTTAGATTGTTAACGAATTCAAGACAGCTGGTTATTCCTAGGTACATTGATTTAGAATAAAATAGAGCTTTTGGCTTTGTCCTAGTTTCTCTTGTTTTTTGTACGTATATATCAGTCAGTCGTCTACAACTTAAGACTAGCCACATATATGCATCGGTGCAAGTTGCCGTGCCTCATTAGCACAACAAGATGAATACTGAATTCATAGAAGCAGTTACTCCAATGGTAGTAGCAGTATATATAAAAAAGATTGCATCTAGAAATATGATACAGTGAAGAATCAGTTCGTAGAAAGAAAGGTGTAAAGTAATTTTTATCTCCCGGTTTCACGGAAGGCAAAGAGCGTATAGACCTACGCCAATGTGGTGGATTCTGATCCATGTCACCCAGTCTCCAACCGTTGATTACGATAGTCGCACGAACCCCAACCAAGTAGTCTGCATCTACTAACATGGCTCAGACCAGGAGTTAGTGACTTCAAGCACTGATGCCACGTTTTGGTTTGGCCGCCCCTAACTTTCTTCCAACCATCCCGAACACCGGTCAACATTGCACGTCGTAGTAATCGGTGTTAAGGCATACGTAATACGTGGCCCAACCATCTCAGTCGATGAAGATTCACAACCTCATCGACTGATTTATCATCCTTCCCTAATACCCTGCGTCTAACCTCACTATTACTTACCCGGTGATCCCAACAGACGCCAGCAATATTTCTAAGTCATCTGTGGTCAAATACTAGTAGCTTACGAGTGTCTTCTACTCTTAATGGCCACGTTTCCTAAGTTCAACAAGTAGGGACCAATAAAGTCAAAATCGTCGGTTTTATTAGTTGCATTACCAGTTCGATGCTGTTACGAGAAGTATATTTCTGGAGGGTTGTCTAGGAAATCCTCATTCGTCATAAATAATGGGGAAAGCTCACTTGCACGTGAAGTAGATACTAATAATGACCAGAGCAACAATGAATGTTTCCTAATTACAGCTATTCTATAGGTCATAACAAAACATCCACCTGAGCTTCAAGCCTTCTCCATCACTACTATTCTTACAATTTGTGTCGTATGGAGTTGTAAGTGGGTTGAGACTTCTCGAATAAACTATCCCCGACAAGTGGGCTCGTCACTTTGAAGCGGCACTTCCCAAATTAATTTTGCTATCTATCTAAACCACTTTACTGACTAGTCAACATGCATACTTTTGCAATTACTTTAGAAGGTGGCTTATAGAAATTTTACTTTAGTTAATTTTGCAGCGGTGACGATTGTAGTGACTTGATGTAGTAGGTCACGATTGTTGTTCACTGGACTGTCTAATTATCTCTCGTAATTCAGTAATAACATTTCAGTATTACCACAACAACACGTACGTCTATCTACACTTGAAAGAAGCACCTGTATTGGAAGGACGATTTACATCACTACATTGAATTGGTTGAAAGGTATTCTGAATTTACTGAGGAAGATTGTTCATTCATCTAACTATTTAATTTTGTGCCTAACGAAGTCGTGATATTCAGTTATTAGTCTTGTATGTATTAACTACTTGCTAAGATTTAAGTAGCCAAGTGATTTGCAGAAGTAGTAAGCAGGGAAACTCGTATTCATAAAATTATCTGACCGAGGAATACTAAACAGGCGATTAGGTTCTCATTAAAATTATTCCCCGTTGGTGAGTGCTGTAAATTAAGAAGATACTCTGAAACTTCCTTTCATCGCACAATATATTGTTTTAATTGTTAAACGCATATTTTTTAACATCATACTTTGTGTGTCATGTTTATATTCAATTAAGGTTACAAACTAAAAGTATCATTCTATACTTTGCTTATGCGCATTTGTTAAGTGAAGAAATACAGTGAATATGGACAAATTTCTTTTATTCAAATATTGATTGAGTGATTTGGCTTTAGGCTAGATTCTCAAAGTTTTGATGATGAAGTTCAACGAAGTCGAAATCGAGATACTCACTCACTAATGACATTAAATGATAATCGCACCGTGTTTCAAATTGAAGAAAAATTAAATTGTGAACTATTGGCTTGTGACCTGTCTGTTTAAATATGTTTTCCTGGTCGGAAAGATTAAACCCCCTTAGTTCCATCTCATTTGGGGTCATAAGTGTGCATCAGTAAGAAGTCTCAAAGTATGACTAGATACTTACCTTCTACTACATGGTTCTCGGTAGTTTTGATTTGGGCTAAAAACGAACTGACTAACTATTTAGTCATCTGCTGATCTGTTTATTTTGCTCATCATTGTTTCTTAATAATGTTCTCTTTTCTAATCATCACATCACAATAACAGATAGAAAGTGAAAATCGGTAAAGAAATCAGCAACCAAAGTAAACATATTTGCTTCTTTCATTTTTTTTGACAAATGACATATGCCTAGTATGCGTGACTGTCGAGCTGTCTTCATCATTATAAAATTTATTATTACTGTGTAAAGCTTGTGTACATTAAAAACTAAAAGGAGGAAAGATTTAAACGTGAAAAAATTTAATTATAATCAAAAATTTTCCCAATCAAATCAAAGAAAAAGAGAATAGGGGATAAATACATCAAATATTCAACTGGAGTATAATATTTAGCGCAAAATTGACTGTTGGTTAGTAATTTAATCTACACGCGAATGTATATGTATGTATTTATAATCAGATAATTGTTTAGAGATTAAATTGAAGACAACAGAGTAAAAGCAGAAAATTTAACGAGTATTAAACAACTCTTTTGTCAATATACTTATTTTTTGTTTAAAGAACTGTTTAGCATTAAGTGATATGTATATATATATATATAAAGAACACGCATGACTACTGCTATCTGTCTACGCGAATGCTTCTCATCATTATCGGTCATCAGTTCTACAATAATATATGTGTACTCATTTGGTTTAAATAATCAAAGAAACTTGTAGAACAAAATAGGAAACAAACAACTGATTATCAAAGTGAGATTCATCTCTTAAATAAAAGAAGACCCAGTAATGTATGTAACTGAATAATTTCTAACTAGAGTAATGATTATTTACTTCAATGTAAAAAAAAAACAATTCATATTCCCACCTTTTCTTCTGGTTTTCAAAAGACTATCTAGATAATTTTGTTGTTACTGTACATTCATCTATTTGTACTAATTTTATGCGTGTATACTCAAGTTGACAAGTTCATTTGATTTGTTTTCTAACTAGAAAAAAATATATGTATGTTTCTTTCTTAAAATAGAACGTTTTCTTTAAATAAAACTTACTTTACTCCATAGTTTCATATCATCATCATGTCAAAATAGGTAATAAAACACGCACATAAAGAATGCCAAATAAAATGAAATATTGAATGATATATGATATGATAAAGACCGAGAGAGAGAGAGAGAGAGAAATGTCACAAATGAAATAAATTATTTTCAATTGATTTGTCATCACATTTGCTAGTTGCGTGTAGTTTGTTTACAAATAATTTTACAGATTTTCTACTTCATTACTATCAATTTTACTATTATTATTATTATTATTCAATAACTAGTCATAAATTAAAGTATTTCAACACAAATATGTATTAACTAAGTATAGAAGTATGAAAGTGAAAAGTGGTTTATTTTTTATTACTTTATAGTGTATTGTGTATTGACAGATAAGATGTTGTTATCTTTCGATTTTTTTCCGAATTTTTATTAAAATATAAATTTCATACTATAAATGTAATTATTTTGATGACAAGTTGAAAGGAGGGAAAAATGTTCTGAAGAATACTTATCATCAAATATATGTATGTCATTAGAAAAATCTGGGTGTGTGTGTACGTTCGTTTAATTGTAAGTATCTATTTAGTTGTTTAAACAACTAACTTTATAAGTAAGCAAATATTATTTTTTTTTAAGGATCAATTTAATTTGTAAATTCTCTATAGTGTAATGAAACAACACTGTTGATTCAAAAAGTATGTATTTAAATGGGTTTTTTCTGTGTTAGAAATACTTGGGCAAAACTTTCAGGAAATTAATCAAACATTAAGTGCTGTTTAGAGAGATAGCATATTTTTATGACAAGGTATTTTCAAATGGACTAAGGGTTCTATAGATAACCGTAAAAACTCGATGGACGATACTAGAGGACATGTTGGTTTTCTCTAGTGGTGACGGTATTCAATGTGCGTGGTCGATTATAATTTTCAGTAAATGGTTTTGATGAACTGGATTTAAAAAGTCATCAGTTTACGCGATTCTAACGAATTACATAACGGCGAGGCATCTTAGGAAACCGGTTTCTGTGGAATTCAAAGGAAATTAGCTAGTACAGATAGGGAAGATTTTGAAGAGAATAAGATTAAAGTAACCAAAACTTAGAAACGTGACGCTTTATAATCTCACTTTCCTAGTTTATTGGGTATAGTAGTGAACTTCCAAAAACTACATATTCACTCTTAACATTACCCTACATTAAAGCGACACAATATAAAAATTAATAACTGTTAATTATATAAATTACAGTAAACAATAACAAATTTTGTCACGAAATTATAGCATTTAAAATGATTTAAAGAATATTCGGACTAACTTCAGGATGAATATAACGAAATTGTATTTGAACATATGTAGGGAAATTGAAATTTCCGATGGGTAACTATTCTAGAAACCTAAGAATGTATATTGGACCGTTTCAACAAGAAGAGACGAAATGTACTTAGTTAATTTTATGACTCGTTCCTATTAAATAATTGATGATGAATGAGCATTGTTGTAATGTGTAAATAAAACTATTAAAACAAAAGTTATTTGTCGTTAAGACATA